CCCCCGAGCCGGGGGGGGCCAGCCACTGCCCACCCAAACCCCAAGAAGGTGCTGAAAAGAACAGAGGGGGAAAACGGGAGGACAAAGATCTCCTGATTGACCTGCCCACAGAGCAGCCTCACACTGGCTTGCTGCCTGGCTTCGGCTGCTGGGTGGTCCCAAACCTCAAGCCTGAGAACATGACTGGGTTTTTTCCCCGAGTAGAAGGACCAGAGCCACCCAGCAAGCCAAACACAAGCTTTCTTTGGAGAAAGGCACCTTGGTCCTGCCTCTGGGAACCCCATGACAACAGCTGCATGCGCCCAGATGGCCACACACATGGGAAAGCACCACGTGCAAGAGCCAGCAGACACGGCCGAGGGGGAAGGCGAGCTGCCCGGCTACGGAACACTGCAGGGCCGGCCCCACAGCAGAGCAGCTCAGCACTGTGTGCAGGGAGCCGGTCTCCTGTGGCCGGAACCCCCAGGTGTGTGAGTGTGCACGCTCAGAATCCTGGAGGGTTAAGAGATGGAGGAAAAGGTTACAGCACAACTGTGCCTTCCTGGGGGGCTCTTGGTCTCTTTTACACTCTCTGGCAATACCTAGAAGGAGCAGGAAACTATGGAAAGGGACACCGCAGGGCCAGCAGGTGGCATGGAGGTCAAGCCAGGGGGACCCCACGAGGCTAACCGTGCGGTTCGAGTCCAGGGCCCAGTGACTTGGGAAACAAATCGGCCGTGTGTGCCTGCCCCAAACCCCAAGAGCAGAATAGAGAAGGGACTGCCGTGTGGCCGTCTCCTCTGGGCTGATTCCCTGCCCTCTCTAGTCCCCAGTTCACACACACATCCTTTAGCAGACTATAAAAGTAAAAAAAAAAAAAGAAAAAGAAAAAGAAAAAAGGACAGTGGTACTGCAAACTTGAAAGGAAAAAACTTACAGACATAAAGACTATAATTGGGACCAGCAGTTAGCATAATGGCTATGTCACTGGACTCCCACGTAGTCAACCGCGGTTCACGTCCCAGACCTGGTGGCTTAAAACTCACGCCGGGCACGTGTGCATGCATGCCCAAGATCCCGAGAGAAGAATAGAGAAGGGATTGCAGCGTGGCCATCCCCCCGGGGGGTGATTTCTCGCTTTCTATCTCTTTGTCTCTCTCTGTCTGTCTGGCGAGCGCACGCACCCTATAGCAAAAAGCTCTCCAAAAAAAGGGAAAAAAAAAAAACTATATTTAAAACACAGGCCAGTAGGCAGCATGGCTTCAGGCACTGGACTCCCACATAGCTGACCACAGTTTGAGTCCTGGACCAGGCAGCTTTAAAAATCACGCCATGTGCATGTGCATGCATGCCCAAAACCCCAGAGTGGAATGGTGAGACTGCAATGTGACCAACTTCTGGGGAGTGATTTCTCACCTTCCCGTTCTCTCTCTGTTTTTTTCCCTCATGGAGGAAGTAAATAAACTTTAAACCAATATTAAACTCCACAGCCCAGGTGGGGATCCTCTGTGGCTGTGGCTGCTTATTAAACACAGAAGGGGACGGGGTGGACTGGAAGGGAACACGCGCAGAGGGTTGGAACAGCAGAAAGCGAAGGGGAGACACAGGTCAGGCTGGAGTCACCATGTGGGGAGACCTGTGGCATCCGTCAGGCAAGGACCGAGAACAGGGAGAGGTTGGGCCGCGGGTTTAAGGACAGCACTGGGGCGAGACGGGCGTGCACCCCCACGTGACCACGGGGAGCCCTGTTAGACCGGAGGGAGGGGAAGCCCGTTGGTGGGGTGGGGAAGACGCCCACCCAGCAGCAGCAGGGAGCGGGCACGTGGATGCCAGCCCTGATGCACCCACAGCACACGTCCTTGAGGACAAAGGACAAGGAATGGAGGTACTGCCTGCCGCAGAGCACAGGGGCAGCACCGCCACTGGGGGCCAGAAGCTGCGTGGGAGGTCTGGTCGGGCTGCCTGCCCACCTGAGGGAGGCTGGGGCAGGAGGGCCACAACACAGCAGGGCCCTGCCAGACCTGCCTATTCTCTCCAGCCCTCTGCATCTCTCCGTCCCCCAAAGGGGAAAATACGTGTATTTCCAGACACATGAAGAGAGGGAGCAGATGGAGAGGAAGCAGTAGAGACCTCGAATGGAGAGTCTGATGCCAGCCAGAAAGAAAGCGTGAAGAAGATGGCCGCAGGGCAGCAGGCGGCCTGGAGCTAAAGCAGCTGGACCCACATGGCTGACTCTGCAGCACCAGTGCCAGCTTTCCCTTTCTCTCTCTCTCCTGTGAGCTCACACGCCACATGGCAAAAGCCTTAACAAAAAAAAAAAGAGAGAGAGAGAGAGAGAGAGAGTTCTAAAATCCGAAAATCCATAATCACGGGGCAACTCATCCCCAGGGCCTCCCCTCTCGGGAGCTCTTCCCCTTCTTTAATAAATGCCCTCTTTGCTGTACCCACTCTGTGTGACTCTAATTCTTCCTGAGCATGGGCCAAGGACCCGTGTCTTGCAAGTGGTCGATTGCCCTGCGTCACTGTCACCAACATTAACAGGCCATCAAGCCACCGGGAACAGGGCCCGGCCCACGCCCGTTCCTGACGGTACTGGGACGTGTGCCAGGCCTCCTTACCCTGCTAAAGCCCCGTCCTTTCTGTCAGCACTTCCTTTTCCAATCACCTAAAACCCGTAAAACCCACCTACAACCTACAGCCCTTCCATGAGTCCCATCTTTTAGCCCAGACCAATTTAAAAAAAAAAAAATCCAAACTCAGTCTCTTGCTCTCAAAGTCAAATAAAAACACCTCTGGTCACACTGATCACCCTCAAAAGGCACAGTCTGCCTCCTCTCTAGGCCTGGTCCCTCAAATCCAGGCTTAAAATAAACCACATTATTAAAAACAAACCGTAATTATGGTCCCATGTGGTGATATAGGTGGGCGCCACTCACAGCAGCCACGCCACGTGGCAGGGAGGCTGGGTCCATATCCCCGTGCACCCCAACAGGCCACCCACACCCGTGGTCCTGTCACTGAAGGGCTGGGGCAGGATGGCGACCTGTGGCATCCGTCACCAAAGGCGGGGTTTGCTACAGTCTGACCAGTTAGGAGGGCATCTGACTGTGGGCCTGTGCCCTGAGCCCTGCTGCCCAGCCCTGGAGTCCAGTCCCACTGGGCACAGAGAAGCCAAAAGCAGTGGGCTCTGGCGCCCCAGCAGGCCACTCCAGTCCCACCTCCCCAGGTCCCCTCACCCCACGTCTCCCTTGTCATGCTACCCTGTAGCCCTGACCAGAGAAGGGAGCAGCAGACACTTACCCAGGAGAGCTACGTTCACGGCCAAGGGCCTGGGCGGACAAAGGAGGGACACGGCAGTGATGACCCCCAGAGTGCCCTCGGACCCAATGAACAGCTGCTTGAGGTCGTAGCCTGTGTTGTCCTTCCGCAGGGAGGTCAGGCAGTCCAGCACAGTGCCGTCCGCCAGCACCTGGCAGACAGAGACGCAATGGCGTAGCAGTGTCCAGGGCCCTCGCAGGCGTCCCCAGCCCCACCCCTGCACCATCCGCCCACCACACGGTGCTCAGGGCATGTGACCCACCCCGGAGGCCTGGGCACCCAGCCCATCATGGCCTTCCCACCGCTTGGGTGAGGATGCAGGGCCATGGGGAGCCTCACGCCTCCTCCCAACTAGAGATGTCCTCCTGGCCAGGTGTTTCCCACCAACCCCAATGCCACCACCACACCCAGGGCTCACTGCAAGCAGCTCACATAAGGCCAGGTCCAGGGCAAGGGTACCTGGGGGGAGTGGGGAGGACAGTGGAAAGCCACACTGCCTGGGCCCTGCCTCTGGAACCTGCACAAGATATGTGGCCCCTGTGGGCAGGCCTGCCTGACCCAGTAAGTTCTCCAGGTCTCGCTGACACAGCTGGCCTGTGTGAGTGTGTGACTTGGCCTAAGGTGACCAGTGGCTGCCAGGAAACAGCCACTGAGAACCTGCTAATCCTTTTGCAGACAGAACAGGAAGTCCGGGTCAGGGGACTCATGAGGTCAGGGACGGTGAGGGAGTGGCTGCTGGGCCCGGGAGAGGGGACCCATGGGGTAGGATGGGGCAACCAGCATGGTTCCCCCACCCCCTCTGACCTAGGTTTTCACTTTGCCCCAGAGGCTGGCCAGGAGAGAGGCTCCAGCTGGTGAGAAGGCAGGGGTGCGCCTTACAGAGCTGTCTCCGTGGGAACAGAGATCTCCGGCCCAGGATGTGGTCCACACGCTGCACCACCACCCAGGCCAAGGGAGCAGCCCCAGACTGGGGCCAGGGCGCCCGCTCACCACTTCTAGGCCCAGGACGGTCCCACGCAGTGAGCCGTACCGCAGGAACCGCAGACCGCCTGCATTGGTGGCCACGTTCCCCCCGATGTGGCAGCTGCCCTTGGCGCCCAAATCCAGCGGCATGATGAAGCCACGCTGCTCCACGTGCTGGCTCAGCTCTTCCAGGACGCACCCCGCCTGGCAGACTAGGACCCCTGCAGGGCACACGGCGGCTGTGGCTTCCAGGGTGCAGGACACTCCCAGCCAGGCTGCCGGAAGGCCCCCAGCCTACAGCCACGAGCCGACAATGCCCCCGGGGCTGGGCCAGGCCAGGCACATCCGGGCCCACTGCACCCCAGGACATGCATCAGACCTGACGACTGCATAGACGAGGCACCTCTTCCACGCTCACACTCACTCTCACGATGACGCTCACTCACACTCGTGCTCTCCTGCCTGGACCTGCTCGGGTGAACACGTTTCTGAGTGGGGAAGGCTGTGGATTAGAAATAGACGCAATAACAAACACACACAGACACACAAGTTTAGAAAAGCGAGGATCGGGTGGGCACAGCTTCTCTGATGGAGAAGTTGCGACCAGAACCAGCCTCAGGTTTATTCTTTCAAAGGGCAGAAAATGGGGGAAGGGGAAAATGGGAAGAAGGAAGTGGAATGTGAAGAGAGAGGAGGAGAAATCGGAGTGCGAAGCCAGCTGTTTTTGGATGTACATCGTCTGAGGATGTGGAAACGACTGGGCCACGTAACTCCTCTGATCTTTTTGGGGGACAGTCTGAGAAACGCCGTGACTTCCTTTAGCCTGATACTGGGCAGTACTGGGGTTAGGGTATCAACAACAGGAAGACAGCCATGGCAGCAGGCAGGTCCTGCTCTCCACGGAGAGGTTTCCCTTAGCCCTGCAGGAGTAGCTGAGGAAGCGCGTGCTCTGCATGTGTCTACAGGCCACGTGTTCTCATCACGTGTTTTCAGAATGGCTCCTCTCCACAGATCCCCCCTTTTCTTTTTCTAATTTGAGTCTGTGGAGCTGGACAGCTGTTGCATGGAGTTTTTGTTGAGTGATTTTGTAGACTAGTAGAAAAATAAACGTAAGCAAGATTACTGACAATTATTTTTAAGAAATACTATGGGGAGTGACGAAGCATGTTAAGAGGATTAGTGTTTTTAAGTTGATTTAAGATATTAGAGGCTAAATTAGAAGGATTAAAAGGAAGTACAAAACTATTTTGTAAATTTATGATTTGTTTATGAAGATTTCTTATATTTACAGAAATATTATTAAAAGACTATACTTTATAAGATGATTTTGAATAGAAGTTTAGTTTAGTTTTTAATGTGGAAGGAAATGCAAAGGGTTTTTTAAATTATTTTAATTAACTTTATTTATTCATTCACTTATTTACTTCAATTTGAGCAGAGAGGGATAGAATGTGAGAAAGAGAGAGAGAGAAAGAACAAGCAAGCCGCCAGGTCCGGGACTTGAACTGCAGTCGGCCATGTGGGAGTCCAGCCCCCTTAACCAAGCCACTTGCCAGCCCCAAATAATAGTTTAGTTTTAATGTGTTAATATATGGTAAAGGAGTCACACAGATATACTGAAATAATGCATGACATTTCAAAATGACTTTGTAACTGTATTTTCAACACTTGTTTTCTTAAGCTGTCTACTGTTTTAAGTTTTTGGTTTTGGTTTTTGCTGTAGGGCTGAAAGACAGAGAGAGACAGAGAGACAGAAAGTGAGAAATTATCCCCCAGGGGGGATGGACAAGCCACAATCCCTTCTCTATTCTCCTCTCGGGATCTTGGGCATGCACGCACATGCACCCAGCATGAGTTAAAGCCACCGGGTCCAGGACTTGAACCGCGGTCCACTACATGGGAGTCCAGCGACATAGCCATTACGCTAACTGCTGGCCCCTACTGTAGTTTTGTTTTTGCAAATGGACAGTAATAAGTTTATGAACATTTAATTGAGTGTCTATTATATGAGAAGTGTTACGAGCGAGAGTGTTGACAAAGTGGCAGTGTGAGTCTGCTGATTTAACACGACTGTGGACGTTGCTGTAAGGTCCGGGGGAAGGGAAAATAAGCATGGCGGAAACATTCCCGCCGGCAGAACTTTCCTGTTTTCCGCATCTGGCCCACCGTCACCAACGAGCTTTCCTGCCCTTCAGCATTTGGCGCACCCGCCAAAGTTGAGCATGAACAGCGAACTTCATTGGCCAGACAAGGACCCGTGGTGACTACAACGGCCCTTTAAGAACAAGCGGCACCCACCCTGGGCGTGACTCCCTGGGCCTCTGACCAGACCGAGGGAACTCACCTGAGAGCTTTTGCAGAATTAAGTATATTGGTTTTATTAAACCCCAAAGCCTGACTCGTATTTTCGTCTCTGCCACCCTGACTTCGCCGCCGCTCCCAAATCAAACCTAACAGTTGTTAGGAAGGCAATTAAAGTGACTGCAGCAAGAACTCCAAAAATGACTGCTTTTCAAAATTTTTTGTGTCAGGACCAGCAATTGGTGTAATGGCTATGTCGCTGGACTCCTATGTAGTCAACCACAGTTCGAGTCCCAGACCTGGTGGCTTAAACTCACACCGGGCACATGTGCATGTGTGTCCAAGATCCCGAGAGGAGAATGGAGAAGGGATTGTGATGTGGCCATTTCCCCGGGGGGTGATTTCTAGCTTTCTGTCTGTCTCTCTGTCTCTGTCTCTCGTGAGTGCACGCCCTATAGCAAAAACCTCTTCAAAAAAAGAAAAAAAAAATTCTTTTTGCGTCTAGCTAATTGACTATGAATTTTATGTAACACTTGAAGTCCAGCATTATTGTACCATGGGCCAGAAGTTGTCACTGGCACTGCCACGTATGAGGGATGGCGTAACGTTAATATATTTTGGCCGAAATTATAATTAGTAACACAGTTTGTAAGATTATAGTTAGTGCAATTTATTTTTACTTTGTTATTTTAAGAACTGCTCTCCACACTTTCCCACTCACACTCATTCACTCACAATCACGCTCTCACACTCACTGACATGCATGTTCTCATCCTCTCACACATGCTCATACTTCCACCTTCTCACACTCAAAGCCACTCATGCTCACACACTCATCTGCTCTCAGATGTTCTCTCACGCTCACTCTCACACTCACCTGTTCTCACATACTCATTCACACTAACTCAACTACTCTCACACTCACTCACCTCACGTGCTCACACTCACGCTCGCCCATGCTCATTCGCCTACTGGCGCACTCACCTGTTCTCACGTGCTCACACATGTGCTCACACTCACCTACTCTCTCACACTCAGGGGCAGAGAAGAGTGCTATTTGCAAAGGCTCTCAGTGGACAGCTGTCAAGGGCACTGCCCACCCAGGGAGGGCCGGGGGCTGCTCGGTGCCTCATGCACAGGAGCCAGACCAGGTGTAGCTGGCCCGCCATGCCAGGCCCTTCATGCCAGCCACCCCTGCACCTGCACCCCAGCCTGGTCGCAGCCAGAAAAGGCTGAAGCGAGGCTTGAGCTTGGCCTGGGCAGCAATGCAAGTGGCCGTTGGCCGTGCAGCAGGTGGTAGCTACAACTCCCTCCCAGCCATGTTCCCTGGCACAGTCCTGGGGCTGTTGAGAAGGGGCCAGTCCAACCAACCCGTGTGGGCTCACCGGACACGCCATGGAAGCTGATGACCTGGTTCATGAGAACGGTGGAGAGGATGATCTCGTCAAAGACGGGGACACTGCCCCCCACCATGCCTGTGTTGCCACCCTGAGGGGTCACGGCCAGGTTTCTTGCATGGCAGTGCCTAGGACGAGCATGGGAGGGGGTGTCAGGGACTGTCCCTGTTCCACATCAACCCCAGGGGACACACTGCAGGACACCCTTGGCTCCCAATCCCGATGCCCTCTCTTCCACCACACGTCCCAGCTAGGCCAGCTTCTATCCACAGGCCCAGTGGGGCCTCCTGGCCTGGCATTCAGGGCTCTGGTGATGAGATGCCCTCTCGGACTGGGCGACAGGCCCTGCCATCTTCCTCGCACCATGGGGAGCACACAGGAGCCATCCCTAAGTCCTGAGGGCCCTTGCCACTAAGGACAGAGCCCTCCGAGCTTGGTCACAACTGTTGCGCCTCACCCATCCCCTTTGTCCTGACGGTGCTCTCGCCTCAGCCACCACCATCCCCAGACAGTGGATCGGTCCCCAAGAGCCAGGGCACCTCCTCCCTGGCCAGCCCCATCTTTGCAAAGGCCACTGGACAAGGCAGGTGCCCCTCCCGAGACAACTGTGTGCATCAGACGGCAGAGCCCAGAGATGGGCGTGGCTAAGTGCCCTGCACGGCCCTCAAGTGCCACCTGCAGCCAACAGGTGGGTGAGCCACAGCGGGGTGGAGCCCTGCACACTCAGTGGCGAGACAGGAGGCGTGGCAGGGTACAGAAGAAACCACACCACCCGCACTGAGTGTGGGTTTATCATTGGTGTGCAGCAGGGCCTGAGGGCACATGAGTTAGCACTGTGTCCGCGGAGCAGCCACGTCCCAGTTTCCATGGCGTCTTGTCGCCCACGCTACCGTGGTCAAGTGGGTCAGGGAGAGTGCACTGTATAAGGACATCCCTTCCTTCCCTGACCGCTCCACGCAGCTCATGCTGCCGGGTGACCCATGTGGACGTGCCTGAGCACCGAAACCAGGCAGCGCCAGGCCCTCCCCCTACCTCCCAGCCCCACCTCTGCAGCTTCGCACCCTTCACATCAGCCCGTAGCCGGCAACTCGGGGCAGACTCCCGACAGCCAAACAAGACAAGATGCATGGGGGTTGTTACCTGAGGATGCGCGACACCTCCTCAGACGTCCGGGGCCGCAGCAGCACCCTGCTACTGCCTGCAACAGAGGGGCCAGGTGAGATGGTGGAAGACCCTGGAAGATGCTCTTCACAGCACACTCCCATCCCGGCAAGGACGCGCCCGGCCACCAGGCAGCCGGAAACACGAGCACAGGAGCAGGCTGGAACACGCCCGCCAAGCCAAATGAGTCTGACCCTGGCCCATGTCCCCGGGCCAGCGCTGCAGCTGGCTGGCACCCTCTGGAGGGCCTGGCCCCGCCACAGCTCCTGCGCCTTCTTCTGGAACTGCCGATGTCCTGCAGAGCACTCAGGCCACGAGCCGCCCTGCCGCAGTTCTGCCACCTGCTCACTTCACACGTACCACCGGCCCTGCCTGGGCCAGTCTCCACATGGCCGCCAAGCGGTGACCTCCTAGCCTGCCCACAGGCTCACCCTGGCCAGCTGACGTCCCTGTGGAGCCCTTCTGTGGCCTTAGGGACACAGGCTGTCACTGTGGTCAGTGGGCTTGCCCGAGCCAGCCGAACGCCTCAGCAGGTCCCCGTGCCTTTATCTGACGCCCAGCTGTGGCCGGGGGGAGCCCTCCGTGCTGGTCAGCCGGTGCACCCGGCCACCACGCTTCCCGCTCCCCTCCCACTCTGCCCTCACCCACTCCATCCATTGTCCAGCAAAACCCAGGGACTCCCTTCCCAACCCACTCAAATCTGACCACACCCCATGCCCACAGGAGGGCTCCTCCCCAGCCTCAGCTTCCACACTTGGGCCTCGGAACCCTCCTCCCCACAGGCGGGCTAGCCAGACACCCCCAGCTGCCCGGCTGCCCCAGGCTCCCTGTGCAGGCCAGGAGGCCCTGCTCAGAGGCTTCGCACTGGCCGCTCCTGCTCCTGAAACACCCTTCCACCCACTCCCGGTCTCTCCTCTGGCTGCACCCAGTGAGTTTCCTCGCACCACAGGCCTGGCCCAGCGAGCCATCCAGCTGCAGCAAGGACAGATTGGACAGGTTTTCTACTCCAGACGACACCCTAGCTTGAGGAGAACGGTGGGCCAGCACCACAGCCAAGTGGCCGAGGGGGCCAGGCCCCACATGGCTGACCACAGCTCGAACCCAGCCCAGTGCCTGGAAAACACACTGAGCGAGTTCATGCGTGTCCGAAATGCCAATGAGATGGAGACGGGGAGGGGGTACCTGCTCCTTCTCTCCCTCACGCTCTGGTGGAAGAAGGCAGGGAGCACTGATGTCGCCTGGTGGGCAGAAGGCGCCCACCAGGAACAGGGGGGCTGAGGCTGGCATAGGGAGTGTCTTCTCTGGCGCCCTTTCCGCCGAGTGGGCACCGCCTGAGAACAGACGCCTGTGGTTGGAGCGCCCAGCCTGAGGTCACTGTCAGGGTGAGGAAGGGCCACAGGACCCCACTCAGGTGGGTCTGCACACACAGGCACGCACCACTGGGAGGTGGCTTCCCCCGTGGGGTGTAAGCCACTGGGGTCAGCGGAACCGAAGCCACCACCAGGGCACAGCCTTCTTGCTTCCTGCCTGGGGCTGTGGTCACCTAGGCTACCCTCAGGAGGCGCAGGGACCAGACTCACCTCGGACCGACCTCAGCCAGTCCACGTTAGAAGGGTCCAGCTCCTCTGGGTCTGTGATGACCCTGCCAGGGACGATGCCCTGGAAAGCCGCCAAGTCTTCCTCCGACACCGTGGAGAACGGCAGGCGCCGCCCGGGGGAGGGCCTGCAGGGCCGCCGCCC